ACATATATATATCACAGGTAAGAATTACATATAAGGTATATTTAACATTATGCCTAATATATAGTATCTAATTGATATATTATCTGTTATATATTACAGAGTCATAATTTATTAAGGGAGAAAAACTATATGTTAATTCTTTAAAGTATTTTTATATATTTGTAATTCTTGGGGGATTCTTGAGATTTCTTTAAGAATATATTTGTATATACAGAAATATATGAATATATTTTGTGTAATAGAAACTCCTGTTTCTATGGTATGGTATATTTCCCCAGTATAATTATTTGATAAATGAGAACAACAGTTATTTTGTTGCCTGTATTTTCTTTGAGCAACATCTCAACTGGTTTATTGCACATGACCGTTAATAAACCTTAGTGCTAACTAACTGAAGTCCGATCTCCAAATATGCTAGTGTCCTCATTCCTGTCAATCTCCTGAATTTATTGCAGCAGCTGTCCAAAAGGATAGGTTAATGATTGTTGCTGAAATAAATCGGATTCTGTCATCACTAAATGCTTCAGCTAGTTTGGGTGAAGAGGAATGTAGGATGTCAGATTAGGATACAGGAAAAAAAAGGTTAAGAACCTATCATACTGAATAAATCTCGCTTTCCAACATAGGAGAAGAAAACACAGACACATAAGACAGACCTGGGATATCAAAGGTGATTTCTGTATAAATATGTGTCCAAGTTACAAGTAGAAAATGTGTGCCAATGCCTTATTTTAGACAATTTGGTAATAATCAGTAGCTTAACCATAAAACAATTTTCATATCAATGCTTTCTTCCATAATTCTAGATTTGAAAATTAATTTACAATTTTCTTGGAGCACAAAATATAAAAAAAAAATATTTAAAATGCCTGCTTATCTTTTTAAAGGCAATTGCTATGAAAAGGGAAATAGGCAATAGGAAAAAGAACTCTGTGTATGTACAGTTATAGACTAGTAAAAATCATAAATGGAAACAATCTAGACTCTTCCCAGGAATATGTAAGAGGATCTAGGAATTCGTAGTAGGTAACATCGATTGAGCGGTTCTCATGTGCCAGGCCTGTTGCTGAGCACAATGATTAGGTAATTTTTAGTTTGCTTAAAAGCGAAGAAGGGGCGCCTGGCTGGCTCAGTCAGTGGAACATGTGACTCTTGATTTCAGGGTGGTGAGTTTTGAGCCCCACACTGTGTGCGGAGCTTACATAACAGCAAAACAAATGAGTTTTTCTGTATTAATGGTATTTCTAATCCAAAACCTGGACTATAAATCACGGTTTATTATATCCCTGTAAAGAGGTGCCTGAAAACACAGATCCTCCTATGTGTTCTACTTGTTTATGCAATGAAAAGTAGAATCGACCTCCCTGTGACAGAAAAAAATGTATAGTCCGTAGTCTTGTAGCCTCAGGAACCAGCAGGCTGTAGATACCTGCCAGAAGCCAGCCCGAATATATTCACAGAGCTTGTCTGCCAGACTGTACTTCCTGATACATGGGCAGATGAGTCTGAGTCCCAGAAAGATCTATTTCTCCTGGATGTAATCTTCCCTTGAAGGTGGGGGTTTGTACCATAGAGGGTGTGTAAAGCTCTGTAGCAACTCATTGTACATACCTCCTCTGGCAAATGCACATCTCTTTGGAGTCCAGTGCTATAAAACTCCATGTGCAAACTTACAGTTCTAAAACCAGTCACAGGGATATAATGTACAGCATAGGGAATATAGTCAACAATATTGTAATAACTTTGGTGATGGTAACTAGACTTGTCATGGTGATTGTTTTGTAATGTATTTAAATGTCAAATCACCGTATCATACACCTAAAACTAATATAATATTGTACATCAACTATAATAATAAGTGAATTCAATGTGTGCAGTGTTCCTGAAACTCTGAAGCTAGTGAATGGCAACTAATGCCATGTATATAGGCTGCTCTAAGGAATCTTCCTCACTTTAGAAAACAGAATAGTTTTTTTTCTGGTCATTCATTATTTAACAAATAGGAGTTAAGAACTTCTACGTGTATTTTGTCAAGCACTGGTTCAGGAATTGGGGGTGGAACAATCAACAAAATAATGTCCTTTCCCTGATGGGGTTTATTTTTAAGAGGAAAAAAAAAAGGCTTGTAGGGAATGAGACTGAGGAAGTAGCAAAGGATGATCCATGGTAAAATTTGGATTTCATTTGAACTGTGATAGAAAACCGTTGAAAGTTTTTGAGCAGGGAGTGATCAAAGTTGGCATATGTTGTTTTTGTTTTGTTTTGTTAAGATTTTATTTATTTGAGAAAGAGCATGAGTGGGGGGGTGGGGGGAGTGGACAAGCAGATTCCCCACGGAGTGCAAAGCTGGACTCCTGAAGCAGGGCTTGATTCCAGGACCCTAGATCACAACCTGAGCCAAAGTGAGATGCTTAACCAACTGAGCCACCCAGGAGCCCCAAAGTTGGCATATTTCTTAAAGGGATTCTTCTGGCTGTGTGAATACACACATGTCACTGTTCACATGGCCAAGTTAGTTCTCTTGGCCCTAAACAGCCCCTCAATTGTTCCCAAGAATGCTTCTGTACTGCCATTAGATTACTGCATGCTGTGTGAACAAAACTTCAAAATTGTTACCCTCGCACAGCAGTCCTTAAGAACCCTGATATACAGCAGTGTTGAAGGCACGGATATTTGGTTGAGGACTTTGCTCTCAAAAGACAGGCATAGTTTAGTTCAGAGCCAATTTGCAATTCTGACAAGACAGATTATCTATTTTGTGATACTGCAGAAGATTTCAAGCAGAAATTTTGTAGAGAAAGTGTCCCTGAAAAAGGCATGATAAATCTGAATCCAAAGATAAGGAATTTCTGGTTTTAATTTGTTTTTGCATAACTTAAAGGACTTCTTTACTTCCTGTTTTATATGCCACTATTTTCTCAGAACAATGACTGATACACTGTAGATGTTCAATAAATATTGTAAGTTAAGTTGATGTATCATTCCACAATTATATACTGAATGCTCAGTGTATGCAAGGCTCTATGCTGTGTTTTAGAGGCGATGTATGTTGAAAGCGTCCTGTCTTCAGAGAAGTTTGCAATCTAATTTGGTTTAAGAGCTTTACAGGACTATTAACATGATTGAAGTAAGAATTGGCGTTTATTGGGTGTCGGCTCTGTGCCAGGCCCTGTGCTGTGTCGTTCGTATGTTTTCTCTCTTATTAATCCTTGTTACAGACATACAAATGATAATAATGTTATTATCTCCACTGTATGGAAAAAGGAAACTGAATTTTAACTTTATGATGGGACTAAGATTTCAAGACAGAAATGAAATCAGGCCGTCTGACTTGCTTTATTAACCGTAAGGTAATAGTTGTCTCCAAGGCATTAGTGGTGGTAAGCCCTGTGATTTTCCCTTAGAAAAGGGAAAGACCTCTTACTGTTGTGTGCTTGGGGGAAAGTTCCTGAAGGAGGTGGGCTGATGAGGCAATATAGAAAAGCGTGAGCAAGCCATTCCCGAAGCATACTAGCAGTGCCAACGTGGAACCAGGCAAAAAATGCAAAGCACTTGGCAGAGAATATTAAAAGGCAATTACAGCTTTAAAATTCCAGTTAAGTTTTTGGTATATGATATTGTCCTTTCACATATATATTTAGTCTTTCATTCTTTAATTTTGATTTTTAAAAAAAAATTTTAAGTATTTTAAGCCCCAACATGGGGCTGGAACTCCTGACCCTGAGATCAAAAGTTGCATGCCCTTCTGAGCCAGGCAGGCACCCCTAATTTTGATTTCTAAAATCAGGAGTAGTTTCTGAGTTTTAAAAATTTACCTGTATAAGTTACTTTAGCTGATATAATTTTATGGATTCATCTTATGATTTCAACTTTTGCAAAAGGACATTGAATGCCAGGAAACCAGAGAATTTTCAAGTTTATGCTAACCCAGCAGGAGGTATATGTATGTGGGGAGGGGTCATGGAGGAAGGGACGGAAGAAGGAAATGAAGCAGCGGGAAATGGAGAATGAGCAAGAATTAAATTCTCACCCTCAATGTTGGAAAACAGTTCTTCATGGAAAGAGTGTGCAGTATCTGCTTAAAGTGAAGGCATTTCTGTCTCTATCATAACATTATAGTATATGGACATATATATCGACACATTTCTTTTAATTATATTTGGGGCACCTGAGTAGCACAGTCAGTTAAGCATCCAACTCTTGGTTTCAGCTCAGGTCGTGATCTCAGGGTCCTGGGAGGGAGCCCTTTGTCAGGCTCTGTGCTCAGCAGGGAGTCTGCTTGAGCGTCTCTCTCTCCCTCTCCTTCTGCCCCTCCCCACCTCTCTCTCTCTCTCTCTCTCAAAAAAAAAAAAAAAAAACTTTAAAAAATTACATACATATATACTTTTATTTCTATACCTGTGTCCCAAGACACATTGTATGCCATCAGAGGGGGTTAGTTCCCTGCTACCTCTCTCTTTTTTTTTTTCCTCCACTCTCTCCAGTCCTTTCACTGTCTTCCATCTCCCATAGAGCAAGAAGAATAAACCCAATATATTGCATGTGGTGAACGTTTTAAATGACAAGATAAATGCCAAGGGAGCGTACCAGTACCAGCAGGGTATTTCCAGATCTTAGGGTTTAAATACTTTAACCTTTAGATGCAAGTAATTCCTTATCCCTGATTGACACGTGTTCTTTTGTTTGTTTCTAACAGTTTTTTAGTAAGTACTTTATATATGTTCCTAAAAATATATATGATATTATCTTAGTGCATGTACCCTTCTTTAATGCAAATTCCTTGTTCAAGTTGGAGCTAGATTTACAGAGAAGAACGCTCTGAGAAGAGAAGGCATATACGATAGCTGTTCATAACTGAATTTTGTCCTTATCCCTTTGAGTTTTGAAATCTTTGTTGACATTGACCTTAAATTGTTACTTCCTAAAAATCGCTGTATCAGTTACAAAGTATATTTTACTGCTATGATAGATGCCACACTACAAAGATGAAACACAGCAAGATTTATTCTTTCACATAAAAGAACCCCAGAGGGTAAGCAGCTGACAATTAGCTTCGTAGCTCTGTGCAATCAACTAAGACCAACGCTGCTTCTTTCTGCTCTGTCATCCATAGTGAGTCCTTTCCTGTGGGTTTACAAGGTGGCTGCTTCATCTTCATCTCAAAGTAGTTCCCAGAAAAGAGAGAAGCGGAAGGGGAGAAAAGCAAAAGAAAAGGCCCATTACAGAATGCCTGTTCCACATCTGATTGAGGGACTTTCTTAACAGAACTACTCAGTGATTTTACATCTATCTCAATGGCCAGAATTAAATATGTGGTCATACCAACCTGCAAGGGAAACTTGAAAAATGTCCTATTTTAATGGGCATATTGTCATCTTGGGAAAAAAAAAAAAAAGAATCTTTAAGAAAAAATAGGGGGTGGGCACCTGGGTGGTTCAGTTCAGCATCTGCCTTCGGCTCAGGTCATGATCCCAGGGTCCTGGGATCCAGTCCTGCATGGAGCTCTTTGCTCAGCGGGGAGCCTGCTTCCCCCTCTGCCTGCCACTCCCCCTGCTTGTGCTCTCTCTCTCTCTCTTACTTCATGTCTTTACCATGTCTGTGAAGATGGCGTAAATACTTACCACCTGTGATTTTGGTTAAACACCTAATATCAAGCCTCAATCTGCACACAGGATCCTGGTGGTAGTATATATGGAATTTTCATTAGTCTTTAAACTCCACGTGAGCAAGGATTGTGTACTCCTAATATACTCCATGTCAAGGATGATATTTGATGCATGGGAGGTACCCACTTTTTTTTATTATTAATGAATGGAAAGTCACACTTCTGGCGTGGTTTGAAGCAGTTATATCTGACTTCTGAAACCGGGCTTTGAATCCTGTTGCATTCCCTTATTTTTTCTTTTTGTCAAAATGCCTTGCTTTGCTTTTTATTCATTATGTTGCATTTTTCAGTAGTGCTTTTTTCCCCTCAAATAGTTTGTTTGAAAGCTTCATAGAGTATTTTTTTATTGCAAGCAACAGAAACCCAATTAAAATAAGCTCAAAAAAAGAATGTATTAAAAAATGTATTGCAGGGATACTGGGGTATATCAATTTAAGGATAGTAGTATGCTGGGATCCTAGGAGCAACTGGAAACTACTCCAGCAGAGTCAGCACTTTCTGATCCATTCATCTGTACCTCTCTTTGCATTTATATGTTCCTCTCTCTCTTTCTGCATTTTGTCATTTTATGCTTTGCTCTTCCCAAAACAGTGTACATTTTCAGCACCCAAACTTTGAATGTTTAATTGCTTCTTCAGCAATTAAAAAGCAGTGTCATGGCACCTGGGTGACTCAGTTGGTTCAGCGTCTGACTCTTGATTTTGGGTCAGGTCATGATCTCAGGGTTGTGAGATCGAGCCCCACATCAGGCTCAAGTGCTGGGTGTGGAGCCTGCTTAAAATTCTCTCTCCTTCTGCCCCCACTGCACTCCCACTCCCCCCACCATCCCTCTCTCTAGCTCTCTCATGATTACATTTCCAAGAAGAACTGAGTGATTGGGTGAGGAGCCAGTCTCTGGGGAATACATGGAGAGGAAGGGGACTATGTCAACTTGGCTAGACTCTAATTCCCAGTTTTTCAGTCAAACACTAATTTAGGTGTTGCTATATACTTTGTAGGTTTAATTAAAGCTTGCAGTTGGTGGGGCACCTCAGTGGCTCAGTTGGTTAAGCATCTGCCTTCGGCTCAGGTCATGATCTCAGGGTCCTGGGATTGAGCCCACATCAGGCTCCCTGCTCAGCAGGGAGCCTGCTTTTCCCCTTGCCGCTGCCCTGACTCGTGCATGTGTGTGTGCGCTCTGCCAGATAAATAAAATCTTAAAGTCAATCAATTTCAAACTTTTTTTTTAAGGGATATTATCCTAAATTGGGTGGGCCTGAGATTTGCAAGCCATTGATGATCTCCTCAAGACCTACACCCAGGACCCCTAATTGCTTCTAGACCTAGAACCAAACTCCGTTTCCAGCAGACCCAAATGATGAGCTATAAAGTATAACCCATGAAGCTCTGTATTACACGATAAAAAAATGGTACACTTTTTCCAATTTATAATGATAGAAATCTGGAAAATATGTGTGCTAATGGATCCTAAGGATATGAGATCATGGTGGAAGGAACATAAAGTTGGATCGGGTTGAATCTTCTGATATGGACTCACTAAGCAGAGATTCTGGAGACAGTGCTTTAGCTTGAGGAATTAGAAATGGTTCCAACAGTTTGCTAGTTTTAGGGCTGAAATTCTAAGGTAACCTATGCCAGAACGGCTTTATCCTACTTGAGAGGAAAATATCCAAAGGCTTAAGGAGATGGGAGTGAATTTATCAGGTAAGAACTGCTCATGTGTCCTGGATGGTCCAGAGGACATACTTGTCACTAAAACTGAGTAAAAGATTTGTGAGTAGGGTCTCAAAATCCCTGAAAAGGCCTGTGGTTGTTCTTGTCTATAAAGCCTAAATTACAGTGGGAACTGCTCCCATCTAACTGGATTCCCTAAAAGCAATGGGGATGTCAGAATTGTGTAAGCCTGATAGTGACATTTAATCAGCAAAAATAAGGTGGATATTTTAACTTAATAGACAGTGGAGTCAAAGCAGTAAGAATATCTGACTCAGACAGTGGTATGGCAGTGGTGAGTGGAATATGGTGACCTTAAAAAGAAATAGAAGGAAAGGCTGCTAAATTTCTATTTGAACTGTATAAGCAAAGAGTTCTAGGTCAGGTGCACAGAAATCCATCTTGAATCCGTGAAACAGTGAGTCATGGCCCCTCAGTCAACTCCCAGACTTGAACCAGTTTAGAGATGTAGAACTCTACTTGAGGAAGGACCCTGTGATACTTCCGAAGATGTGTACTGTTAGTCTTTCTCCCAGCCAAAGGACCTATGGCCACTTACCAGAATGACAGCTCTGGAGAAAGAGAAATGATACTTTTGGGGATTGATGGACATTGTCTTTGAACTGAAATTAATTCCTGGAGCTACGACATCACTGTGTCTGCCATTCACAATGGGGGCTTATGGAGGTCAGGTGCTCAGTGGAATGTTAGCTCTGATCCATCTCCTAGTCAGTCCAGTTGCTTACAGAACATACACTGTGGTTATTTCCTCAGTTCCAGAATATATCATTGCAATACACATACTCAGCAACTGGCAGAACTTCCATCTTGGTTCTCCAAACAATGGAGTGATACCTATTATGGTGGGAAAGACCAAGTGGAAGCTACTAGAACTGCCTTTACCTAAGAAAAAAAAGTAAAGCTAAAGCAATGCTCCATTCCTGGGGACTGCAGGGATTGCCCTCATCAAGGAGTTGAAGGATGTGATGTGGTAATTCCTACCATCCCCATTCAACTTTATTTTGACCAGTGCAGAGAACGGATCTCGGAGAATGACAGTAGGTAATCATAAGCTTAACCAGGTGGTAGACTCCAGTTGCAACTGCTGTTTCATATGTGTAACGTTTTATTGCTTGAGCAGATCAGCATATCCCCTAAAACTGGTATACAGTTGTACCACCAGAAGTACTGCTTTCAGCCGGCAAGACAGGCAATACTCCAAACTTCACTGTCTTACTTCACAGGTATATCAGCTCTCCAGCTCTGAATCATAATTTATCAAGGGTTACCTTGGTTGCCTTTCCCTTCCACAAGATATTATGCTGGTTCATTCTATGGATATTCTGATTATACTGGACATATTATTTAATATATAAATATCAATAATATTAAATAATATATCAAGTATAGTGTGTCAGACACTGAGAAATCCAACAAAAATCAGGACCCTGTCATCTTAGGTATATTTCTAGGGGTCCATTGGTGTGGGGCATATTAAAATATCCCTCCCAAGGTAAATGATAAGTAGCTGCATCTGGCCTTTCCTACAATAAATAAGTGTAAAACCTAATGGGCCTCCATGGGATATGGAAACATATTCTTAATGTGTTTATGCTACTTTGAACCATTTACCAAGTGACCAAAACTGTTCGTTTTGAGTGGGGCCCAGAACAAGAGAAGGTTCTGAAACATGTCTGGACTGCCATGCAAACTGTTCTAACATTTGTAGCATATAATCCAGTAAATCTAATGATGCTGGAAGTTTAATGCCTTTGCTGGAATCACTAGGTTAATCATAGTATGACCCTTAGGTCTTTGGAACAGAGCCTAGTCATCCTCTAGAGATAACTATGCTCAATTTGAGAAAGCACTTTTGGTTTACTATGGGCCTTAGGAGAAAAGCTTATTCACAGTTCACCAGATTACCAGGCAGCCTGTGGTGCCCTGTGAAATGGTGATTTCAACAGATTTTACTAATCAAATGTATAACATTACCCATTTCTGGATACCAGTCAGCTTTTTCCATAGCCACTCTTCTCAGTGCCCAGTGAGCTTCTGAACAAAGTGATCATGGTAGCAGGTATTGAGATTTTGCATGAAGGTAGCAACCATGAATTAGGTGTTGTCTGAGCCTTCACCATAAATTTGGGCATGCCAAGCAGTACAATGGAAGTGGTATATACAAGATGAGGTTTCAGTAGGCCCTGAAGGCATAAGTTGCATAAAGTGGCCCAAATGCCCTTTGGTCCTCACTCATGCTCCATTACCTTTACTTTTGCAGTCCACACCAATATTCTCATGGAAAGTTCTCTGTGGATAGTTCACTGAAGAAGAAACAATGATTCTCTTATGGATGGTTCTGCATGATATCCAACTATCCCCTAAGGTGGACAGCTGTAGGACTATATTCTAGACATCCCCGAAAGATAATTGTGAAGGGAAATCCTGATGGCAGAATTCTAAGCAGTACACCTGGTTGTTCCTTTTGCCTGGAAGGAGAAATGACCAGAGGCACAAGTCTATAGCAACTCATTGGCTGTGGTTAATGATTTGGCTAGATGGTCAGTATTTAGAAGGAACATGACTGGGAAAACCAGTGACAAGATTTGGGGAAGAGGCATGTGCACAGGTTATTAGGAATGGGAAAAGAATATGAAAATGCTTGCATCCCCTATGACTGCTCATGAAATGGTGACCTCAGTAGAAGATTTTTAAAATCAAGTGGGTAAAAGTACCCATTTCTTTGACTATAAGTCAACCTCTTTCCCTAGCCACCTGTC